AAAGGTTAGCAACTTCATGCATGGCAAATTCATGAGGTACTGGTTAACACCACATTGTCCACTATGTTCTTATATCTATATAAAAAGAAAGCTGCTGAAAAATTCCAAAAGACAGAAGAAAGAGTGACTGAAGTTTTAGACAAGAGTATCAGTGGTATATAACTAAATGTTTAACCAAGAACAGAGACAAGGAAAACATATGCCATGAGATAAAAACTGCTATAGTAGGAATGCACAGAGAGAAATTTCCAATAGGGTCCTGAAAAGAAAGAAAGATACCTGAGCAAGTGCAGAACCCCCTAGGCGACGCTTTCCCTTGGCTAAATCAACATGAATCAGAACTCCATCTCTGAGCTTTAGATCTGGAGTGACTGTTTTTGTTATATCAGGAGCAGTAACATAGGCACTGATTACAAGATTTCCTGGAGCTTTGACAACCTCACCGCCAGCATTTGCAGCCATTGAAAGACTGTCCTTCCCCCCATCTATAGCAATGCCCAGTTCAATCATGGCCTCGGAAAGCGCTGTGGCAGCATCATACATGTCTGCACCTTCCCCTTCAAGCTTGGCAGCATACATCCAGTAGCCACTGGCTTTAAGATCAGAAAGAGATGTAATTTTTGCCCAGATGAGATTCGTGAGTGCTTCACCAACAGCTAATCTGGCCATTGCTTTAGGATCGAACAAACCCTTGATAGGCTGCTCGCCAATAGCACATGCACCCCCAGTGAAGTTGGTGTAGCTCTGAGCAATAACTGCAACATCAGCTAGAGTAATTTGCAAGGGGCCCACAGTCTGCTGCTGTGCCACAAGGCCAGTGACACACCTATCCTCCTTAGTGGTTAGGAAGCGTTTTGAGCACACAGATGGGAGTCTCAACACCCTCTTTAAGGAATCCATCACCGTTGTTCCTGTAGCTATATCAAGTGGCTCTTGAGGATGAGTCATACGCTGGAACTCGAAGGTTTTCTGGGGCAGCAGGAGAAGGAGGAGGCACTCCATCACGACGGGATTTCTCAACAGCAGCACTGTCTACCAAAACAACACACCCTTCACCATTTATTGTTCCAATTACAGCCATTGATAACCTCTCTCTATCACAAATTGATTGTAACATGCTACGACTCTCAGCCTTCACCAATATGGCATCTTGCTCCTGGTACTCTGCACCCCATATCTCCAATATTGACATTGTGTGATCACCAACTACAATAGCCCTGATACCAATCTGAGCACCCTTTGGATATATTATCTCCTTTACAACGTTGCAGTTACCACCAGCACCTTGATCGTGGATGCTAATAATAGGTTTTTTGTCACCCATTTCAATACAAGCACGTACAACACGATACAATTTCTGTGACATCTCAGCATCTCCTCATTGTACTGCGTTAAAGTCAAGTTCAGCATCATTCTGGCCACTCACCGTACTAGAAGCAGCACCTCCTCCCATTCAAATGCGATATGCAGGGCCACCAATCTTTACAACTAATATGCCAATTTCAGGCTCTCCCTTCGTTATATGGGTGTGATCAATCTGCCCTATTCCAGCACTAAAAATAATTGGCTTCAACCATTCCCGTCTCTCACCATTTGGAAGCCTCATCCCAAAGGTCCTAGTATAACCCTGAATCAAGGGCTCCCCAAATTTGTTCCCATAATCTGAGGCACCGTTGCTTGCGTCAATAAGAATCCGCAAAGGAGAAGCCAGATTTGATGGATAAGTAAATGATACATCTTCCCAGGGAGCATAAGATTCTTCCATATTCAAGTTTCCAACACAATAACCAGCTGTAGCAGCAACAACAAATGACCCTCTTCCAGTTGCATGTGTGTCCCTGATCCTGCCACCAGCACCTGTTTCAGCGCCAGGGTAAGGTGCCACAGCACATGGGAAATTGTGGGTTTCAGCAGTAAAAAGAATGTCAAGATCACGCATCTGCACATCTAATGGACAGGTTAAACCTGGAAGAAGAGGGCGTAACTGATTCACCAAAAAGCCTCTTATTGCACTAGAATTATCCTTGAACCCAATCACTGAATTGTTAGGATTCGCCTTTAGTGTACTCTTGACAATCTGCATAAGAGTGCTATCAACAGGTTTCCCATCAATGACTAATTTACCAGTAAACAACCAATGCCCACTGTGCTCACTATTAGATTGTGCAATATCAAATAATTCAACATTAGTTGGGTTCCGCTTAATATCTTCCCTGAAAAGCCAAGTATAATATTGAAGATCTTGTTCATCAAATGCCAAACCCATTTTCGCATTAATATCTTCAAGAGCCTTCCTACCCTGCTCCATAACCGGCACATACAGAACTTCCTCTGGAACCAAACTCGTCTTGAAGCTTGTAAGTTTTTCAGTATACACACATTCAGTCATTTGATCATGAACCATGGCAGCAAAGTCATTTATCTGCTGCTCCTGCAATGGATTGTTAGAAAACAACGGATACCTCCTGGAACGTTCCAGACGATTTACTTCAGTTAAACCACATGATCGACAAATAGATACAGCATTAGTGGACCATGCTGTCGTAAAGGACAATCTAGGTCCTACCTCAACAACTACAACAGCACAACCTTCCATTACCTCCTTATCAAGAAAGATCGGTATCCACCCCAATGTTGAAACACTGTTCAGTTCTCAAACCAACTATCTCATTTCATATCTTCGTCTGAACTGTCCTCAGTAGCTCATCAGCTGCATTATCTTGAATCAGCGGAACACGGAAGAAATGTATAACCTTGTCAACTGACAGCTGTACTTCATCATCTAATGTGACACTCACATCTCCTGAAACAATAGCCTTCACCTTCCCCAATCCAGAACTTCTCAACCCAACACTACAAGTGTGCAAACTTGGCAATCGACCTAACCCGACACCCAAATGCCTACGAGTACTAATCGAATTTCGAGACAGAAATAATTTACGTTGTGCACAACCCTGTATACATTAAAAAAAAATAATAAATTAATTAATTAAATAAATAAATAAATAAATAATCATAGATAAATCAAATTACACAACAAAACACCCTCGAAATCACTCGGACATAGGTACGACACTTAAACAACTCTATTCGACACAAAATCATGCAAATTTTTCAATAAACGGCCGTACATGACAATTCTAGGCAATATAAGTAACATAATCAATGAAAAACAAAATAGAATTTATTACCTTAAATTCTGAGTTGAGTAATTTAGAACCCATAAAATCAGACCGAGTCGCCATTACTGTAAAAAAAATAAAACGAAAACTCCATTGAATCAGCGAAAACTCTAACAAAGAAATTGCACAGTATAATCTATCATAACTTCAGCAATTACAACTAATAAGTCCAATAATCCGACATAGAAGAACCCTAAACTGATTATACTAACAATTGAATTAGCGAATAACACTACACTGTGAAAAGAATATTCGATGGTTGAAAAAAGGAGCATCTTACCTGAGAAGCTGGTTCAATGGAGGATAGAAAGCTCAGAAGGTGCTTCAATGGAGGAGAGAAAGCTCGGAAGGTGGTTTAATGGAGGAGTGAGAGTAGAGTGTAATGGAGGAGTGAGAGTAGACTCAGTAGAGTACAATGGAGGAGAGAGAAAGGGGAAGGGTGCGGCGAGCAGAGTCAGCGTGAGAATATTTTTGACACGCTTGTAGTGTCTGTCTAGTACTCTAGTGTCAACCAATTACCCGAGATTATGTCTGACCCGATCATGGTCCGGGTTGAGGATTAAAGGGTTGACCCGTTTGGGATAATAAAGCTCGGGTTGGGCAATAGTTATATTTTTTTTTTTTTTTTTTTGAGGGAAATAGCTATATGGTAGTATGGTACTAGTACTTTTTTTTACCTTTTTTTTTTAAGGATTATATGGTAGTTCCTGAGTTCGTGCTATAGCTAGAATAGCTAAATTAGACTCTGTAAAATGAACTGGTAGTAGTTTAAAAATTAAACATGCACAAGAATAAATAAATATTTCGTATATAGTAATTTTTTTTTTAAGAATAGTAAATTAAAAATGTGCATGAAATTTTTTTTAGTAAATTATAAAAGAATCTTTAAATAAAATAATTAGTACACTTTAAATAAAAAAATTCATACATTTAAAAATAAACATGTCAAAAAAAAAGTATTACTACATAAAAAATGCACATGCAATAATACAATTATAAAGGTAAACATACACATTCAATTATATATGTTCATTTATGGGGTTGTTAAATAACGCTCCCATTTTACATTTTCACTAGACACGCTCGCATTTTTAATATGAAATACTGTATTTACTGTTGGAGAAAACGAATTACCGGGTCACAAAAATGACATAAAATTGGACAAATTAACACTTTGAGGCCTGAACAAAAATAGTTTCCCAAAGTAATATTTCGACCCTGATTAAACACACCGGGTATCATGAAATTACTAGGAGATACAACAAGACAACCACAAATTTTTTTTTTTAGACAGTGGCTACAAAGAAACAAAGAAACAAGCTATCCTCTCCTCATTTGTACTGCAGCAACATGGGCTGGCTGAACTATTTCTCGTTGAACTTTGATGCAAAAGAAGTCTATCCTTCCTGCCATTGTTCTAATTTCCTCTGCTATGCTTCTTATCTGCAAGGGAGCTTTGTATGGAGTTTGAATCGCCTTGACCACCCTTTCGCAATCTGTTTTGATGACTATATTCTTGTATTCCTCCACATTGTCCTTTAAGGCCTAGAGAACCGCGTAGCTTTCTGCCTGAATCGCATCTTGGGCATGGATTTTCCTTGCTTCCCCATGTTGTTTTGCCCTTGCTCCTCTCTCTGCCATGCGACTGCTGCACTCCACCCTAGTTTATCCCTAACTCTTGTCCTTTTCCATGCTGCATCCACTATGATTGATGTCCTTGGTCCTGCTGAAGGGGTACCTGCATAGAAGAAGTGAGGTGGTTTTGCATGATTATGGTCTTCCAAAGTCGTGTGAAGCTGCTCCTCTTCCTTCAATGTCTCATCTCTGAGCATGTACCTGTGCTAACTCTACAATGTCTGCTGGGTTAGCACTCATGCCTCTAAAAGTAATATCATTTCTATGCAGCCAGATTGCCGGCATTATCAGCGGCATTGATAGAAAAGTATCACTTCCCTTATCATTCTTCAAAGAGTAAGCCAGAAGATCCTTCAGCCATTTCTGGAAGGGGATATGACTATTGCTCATAGTTCTAATCCCCAGTAATCCCCACCATATTCTTCTAGTGACCTCGCATTCCCTAAAGAGGTGTGCCACATTCTCCTCCTCTTTTGTGCATAGAACACAATACTCCTCTAGCTTTACTCCTCGTCTGTTGAGATTGTCCTTAGTATGTAACTTATTTTGAAGGATTCTCCATCCTAGAAGAACTTTCCGCCAAATGTTTATCTTCCAGTATTTTCTCCAAAACCAGTTGTCCTCTGCTAAGGGTTGTTGGTTAAATTGGCTCCAATATCCCGATTTTACAGAGTAGGACCCTTTTAGGCCTGGTAGCCACACTCTTTTATCTTCACGCGCAGAAGGGAGATAAATACTGAGAATATTTCTTGTATCCTCTTCATTAAAAGCTCTCCAAACTAGACTATTGTTCCATGTGTGCCAGGAGTTATTAAATCAGAGACTTTCTTTACCTCTTGACACCCTTTGAAGTTCCTCATGGTCACCCTATTCATACCCACCCAAATATTCCTTTGGATATCAATTTCCTTGCATCTCCCACTGAGAAACCAATATGCTGTTTTAGTTCCGAGGCTGCCTTCACAATACTTCTTGCTGCCCAAGAGCCAAATTTTGGAACTAAATCTTTATGCCCAAGGCTGATGAGATCATTTCCATACTTGCTTTTGAAAATTCTACTTACTAAAAGGCCATGATTAGTGATCATTCTCCATCCTTGTTTCATTAAAAGAGATTTGTTCAAATGCATAACACTCCTAATCCCTAGACCACCACTAGTTTTATGAGAGCAAATTAGACTTTTCTTTGCCCAATAAATTGGTTTTTTAGCAGTCGAATTTCTCCATAAAAATTTCAGCAAGATGGACATAATAGAATTTGCTAGAGATTTAGGACACCAGTAGACTGACAAGATATGCTGAAGGGATGCTGCTAGCACCCCATTAATAAGAATTATCTTACCAGGCATAGTGAGGTGGGAAAACTTCCATGAGGATATTATTTTCATTATTTTTTCTTGTACACCTTTGAGCTTTGCAAATGTTCTTCCATCAATATCCATCGGACACCCTAAGTAAGTCCCTAGCTCAGTGTTGCTTCTTATTCCCAAAGGTTGCCTCAGAATCCTCACAAATCTCGAGGGAGTGTTAGGACTAAAAAGTATAGAGGACTTCTTCATGTTGATGACCTCTCCCGACAGTTGACAAAAGTCTTGTAAAGTCTCTTTCACCACCCTAATTGATGCAGGGGTTGCTTTAAAGTAGAAAAGAGCATCGTCCGCAAAAAATAGGTGGGAAATGGAAGGTGCCCTTCTGGAGATTTTGATTCCTTGCAGTAAGCCCTGTTGTTCTAAAAACCTCAACTTCCTTGACAGACATTCCATGGGGATGATGAATAGATATGGGGATAAAGGATCCCATTGTCTAAGGCCCACTATCGGGAAAAAGAACTCAGAAGGTTCTCCATTTACAAGAACAGAATAACTGACTGTTGTAGGGAATAGTTTCAAGCCTTTAAAATTCCACTAGCTTGAACCCCACTGTGATCATACACTAAAGTACGGTGGCGTCCAAAAGGGAAGAATATAGAGCAAAAGAGTCGCCAACAAGTTTTTAAGGAACTTGTAAACCGTTCACAGGATGAAAGTTACACCCCTTAACGATCCAAGAGATCGTCAACTCCATAAGGTCATGAACCAAATAAGGGTTCGGGGATGATAGTACAAATCCAACCTAAAAGAGATTGAACTTGCCCTAATAATAGGCCTCTACTTTATTCTGCTCGTATTCATGTGCGCTTTCTGACTAACATACAATCAATAGATTTAACCCTAAACCTGTTTGACCTATGTTGGTTGAATATTAATGCACAAATAAACTATTATTGGCGATCACTTGAAATTATAATCACAATTAACCTAACAAGATTATTAAATATCTTATTAAGCGTGATTGCAAGTACCAATTCCCTTTAACATGCAATAAAGGTGATCACGCAATAACAATAAAATAATATGCATATCAAGCAACATAATAAATAATCATGATAATTAATAATAATAATCATAAATATTAGGGAGAATATAGGAAGCATCATACTTTTAATCATACTTGATATTAAAGATACCCTAGACATGATACCAGGAATCAAAATAACAATCTAAGCATGATTTCTACATCATAAATCAATTAAACCATTAAAGTACTTACTTGGATGCCTCGTACCTCTTTCTAATTACAAAATACACACGTTAGTAACTTCAAGGAAAATAATAATCAAAACAATTAAATTAAATATTTGAAATAGAGATTTGGGACCAAACCCTCAGAAATTAAAACCTTTCACGTCTAGGGCGAAGGCAACTTCGAATATGGCTAGGTGTTTCTAGATCTTGTGAATGCGGAATTATTTATTTGTGAAAAGGCTAGTTTAGAAAAGAGAGAGAGAATAATCAAGAAAATCTTGATGAGAGTTGATGATTGATTAAGAGGAGATATGACCTCTATTTATAGGAAAAAAGAGAGTCGAAGAATTAAGAAAAGAATCCAAATTCGAATCGAAATAAAACTCGTAGACAGCAGCTTTTGCGGATTTTGTTTTTATCATATCTTTTGATCCAGAAATCGAAATAAGATTAATAAGATGTCGTTGGGAAGATCTTGAATTCTAATTTCTAACCCAATTGGAATCAGATTAAAATATATTGTAGAATAAAAGATATGAACGAAATAGTGAGACGGTGTCAGTTTTGGATAGAGTTTGATATCTTATTCATATCTTTTTCGTTATAGCTCGGAATTATTATTATAATATATCATTGGAAATATAATTTCAAGATCTATCCAACCATATCAAATTTGGATAAAAAATATGAGGCACGTAAATAATATCTGACTGTCTTTGAACATGTTTAAATCCGAATAGAATTAGGACTTTAAAAAAGGAAAGTTTTATAAAAAAAGGAAAGTTTATATTTAAATCAAATTTCTTAATATTATCTTTTCAGAAAAGGATAATTAAGATATTTTAGAAACTTATAGAAGATTCTAATCAATCCTAATTAGTTTAGGAATAGGATTAAACCTTTGGACCCTCCTCATGATCATTGGGTCGTAGGCAAAATCCGGTTTGGGCCCAGTTTAGTATTTTGGCCATAACTTCCTCATTATCCATCAGAATTGGGCTTATAATATATCGTTGGAAAGTTCTTTGCAAGCCCCATCCAACTACACCACTATTGGACCCTTATCATGGACCAAACTAAACTGGAATGGACGTTTTCATAAAATAGAGTGGGTTTTCGAAAACAGAAAGAAAGAATTTTAACAAAAACTAACCGCAACACTAGACTTTTCCACACTTTCACCTCATTCGATTATGGTTCGACGTGAAAGGTATTCATCTCTGGGTTTGGTTTTGGGGAGACACAAATGGGTGTCTACAGAAGCCCCCACTTTGACTGAGTTTGGAGAAACGCAAGTTTCGAAAACAAAAGTCAAAGTATCGATAGGGACGGAGAATGATTCAGAACGTTCTGCGATCCTAAATCAATCTTGTAACGCCGATACCTGCAAAACTAGCGTTAGTTAAACAGATAAAAGAGTTAAGAAACGCGTATCTTGCACCGTCGAGCACACGTCTCTGAAAGTAACCGATTGTTGTTGTACTGTTGTTTTGATGACCTCCTGCAAGCTAGAGAATGCCATCCCGCTTGAAAACTGCTACGCCTGTAACTGCTTCCAAATTAGAAGATTGTTTCGCCTGAAACTATCCTCTCCGCTTTGATAATATTCCACATCTAAGGGAATACTATCGAAGATTGCTTCTCTTTAAACAATCTCCATCCGCATTGATAATACTCCACATCCTAGGGAATATGATCAAAGACAACTTCGCCCGAAATTACCTTTAGTTGTTTGTGACAACTCTCCACAATTTAGGGAATGCCACCTGCTGCTTTGACATTCTGAACAAAGAGCTCCTTTTTGATATGTTCAATTTCCGCTGTGATAGTCTTCGAAAATATCACTGCTTTTTAATCCTTAATACTGCCATGCCAGTACGTCGACGCTTTGCTGCTTGTGAACCAGTATGTTGGTGCTTTTGTTGTGATGATAATCCTCTTTTTTTTGGGAATAGTTGCCAACACAATTCTTGTATGATGTATGATAATCCGATTTAGGGAAAGTTGTCAATGCTATGTAACAATCCATCCTTGGAAATGTTGCCACGATGAAGCGACAATCCGTACCTCGGAAAATTTGCCAAAATCCAATTTTTGGAAAAAGTTGCCAATGCTTCGTAACAATCTTTCATAAGAATTTTGCTACGATCGACAATCCACATCATGGAATATAATTCTTGAAAGCAATCCACCTTGGAAATTCGCCAACGCTGTGCGACAATCCTTTTGGGAAAATATTGCCACTATTGACAATCCGCATCTTGGAACATTTGCAAAAAAGAGTCGACCGACAATCCACTTCGGGAAAATTTGCCACTTACTGAAATGAATGACAATCCACGTTCAGGAACTTTTGCCGAAATTTATGATGAGTAGAGACCTACGACAATCCTTTGGGAAATTTTGCCATAGGGAACTGGGTGTATGACAATCCAAACTTGGAAAAACTTGCCAGCGATGACAATTCGAACTTGGAAAAAATTTCCAAACAAAGAAGGAGCACGACAATCCACGCTTGGAAACTTTGCCAGAGATGACAATCCAATCTTGGAAAAATTGTCGTTGAAGAAGATGCACGACAATCCATTTTTGGAAATATTGTCAGTTGGGGATGACAATCCAATTTTTGGAAAACTTTGTCGTTTAATAAGAATGCGCGACAATCCATATTTGGAAATATTGTCGTTTAAGTGCTTGCTTTTGAACCGATGCTTTGGTGTTTGTAATGAGCCAATACTTAGGCGCTTAAGCTAAGTGAGACGATCTTTCGTCAGGTCGATCACTTAGACTGTAATCAAACCGACTACTTAATCATGTCAAATTGCTTATAGAGGCTAACTGGCATACCAAGGAACTCGAAATTGCTGCATGAGGTCGAAATCACCATTCTAAGAGGCTTCGAGCTCTGTTTTTTCACTGCTGAAATATCTCTGGCGTCAAGAATTGACTCTTTCGCTGAACGCTGTGATAGGGTTTTCCCTATTCTGCTGCACCTGTATTTATTTTGACTATAGAACTTTGCCAATCTTTTTAATTATCTTAGGGTTGACCTAAGGCTTAAAATTATCTTAGGGTTGACCTAAGGTTTAATGTTGCTTGACTCATCGACTTGACACGACTCAAGGTATAAACTTGACTCGATATGTTTGACTAACTCGAGGTTGACTCGACTCGAAGTAACATGACACATGTGACTCGTGACCCGTGTGTGCATTGTAATGTGATCGTGCGACTCGAAAATGCAAAAAGCAAATTTTTTCTGTCATTTTTGTGGAGGGTACCGACTTTCTCCCGAAAAAGAAAGACGTGAAAAAGAAAAATCAAAAGTTTGAAGATGCATGTTGAATGAGCTTAGTCAAATGTTGTTTGATACTATCTCTCAAGGTGCAAGGATTAATCCATACTAGGCTATCTCAACTGTTGACTCCATGATGAAAGTATTTGGGTAACTTAGGCACGGAGGCTAAGCACTTCATACTTCTATGTAATGACAATTATGATTGATTTTGACGAAGCATGCTTCAGCGTTAAGATTTCATGACAAAGGGTTCCTAAGGGAAATATATTTGGTCATGTATGCGTGATGTGTGTGATAGTGACACTAAAGCTAGGCCGCAAGAGCTAAATGTGTGGAAAAATATATTATTGAAAAGAGTCAAATGGTGGTGACTCTTAGGCTAGGTAAGCTAATGATGTAGGGATCAAGCCCCCAAGTCTAGCTCTAAGTGAATAGGGATGAGCATTGGAGATCCCTTGATATGATCATGGTGTAAGTGTGTGAATGTGAATATGAATGCATGTTTATTACGGCCGCACCTCGATGTGAGGTTGCCTACGTATCCGTTAGGAATCAGGCCGAACGTAGCTCTAGCCAAACCTCGCACAAGTGTGTATACCTCAAAAAGGTCTTTTTAAGGGTTGTAACGTGGTTAGGCTAAAGGTTTAAAGAAGAAGGGGATAAAGGCTCAAGACCCTAGATAAGCCCCCAAGGTGTGCAACCTTGCTTTTGAATATTTGTATTTTCATGCTTGAGGTTTTCTACTCTTCTTTTTTTTAGCTCTTTCTTTTGCTTTAGCATTTATTTTATTTTAATAAGTGTGGGCAATCTCGATCATGCGGTCTATCACTCATTTGGCATTCATGTTTCTCAGGCACGGTACCGAGTACTCGATAAGAGACGCAATCTGAGACATGTTCTTATCGAAGATACTTTCATATCAAAGACATTGGAACACTTACCCTTTTGTACACTTGTTTTTCGTTTTTTTATTATTGCTTATTTTTTTGCTATCGCTTTCTTTTAAATTTGCTCAAGCTTTCTTTAGAATTGCATAAGTTGCACGCCATCCCATCCCAAGGTTAGGTAGATGTAAGTTGAAAAAAGAAGGGTCTATCGTTAGACGAGGCTCAAAGTGGTTTATGAAGAAAGGATTGTATAATTGAAGGGAGAAAGGAGATATGATGTGGCTACAAGGGGTGCCTCAAATCATTAGTATACCTTGTGCTTAATTCGACATGGTTTTTTTTTTTTTTTTTTTTTTTTTTTTTTTTTTTTTTTAAATGCACTGTAATGAAATGATCATATGCAAGGAAATAAATGCTCATTTTATTAAAAAGGGAAAAGAAAAGAAAAATTACAAACATAATCTAAAGGAAAAGAAAAGGTGCCTATGCTAGACTTATTGGGGAAAGGTAAAAATGAAAAAGAAATAGAAAAAGAGGTCATGAAATCTTTTCGTTGAAACTCGCCTCTTGTCTTGTATTGTTTCATCATTACCCTCATTTTTTGTTTGTCAATCATATGACTCAAACTTGATTCAACACACATGGATGGAAGAAGTGAAGAAAGATGGAATAGAAAGTGAAAAAAGAAAAAAATGATGGAGGTGGAGGGATATGAAGAATTAGGGATAGAATGTACCCCCCAACTCAAATGACGGAAAAGACCGACTCATGCATGAACCTAAGACATGGCCATGGTGACATGTGCTCAAAGTGTGTGCTAAGACTAGTGAGTGTAGATGGTACTTTAAGACTCGTGTCATGACCATGTGGCTAGACTATGTGACTAGACTCAAGCAAAGATTAAGTTAAGACTTCACGTATATGCATTAAACTGGACAGACTGTGGTATTTTAGTCATAAATTTTGATCTGCGACTCTGATTGGGATGAAACCAACGCCAAATTAAAGATAAAACTCGGGGCTACAGATCCATAGGTTGTAAGACTAGTAGTTCTTTCTAGAACTCCAGCTATGACCAAAACAAGTTGACATTTGTGCAGTATACGGGAATAAAAATCCGGGTTGACTTAAAGGAACTATGACTCGATTTTATGTTTATTTATTAGCTCAAATTAATTAATTAATTAATTAAACAAAGTCTTTTAGTCATTAATCAGTTTATTTAGTCTTAACACAAGTCAAACAAATGGTTATAAAAAATCACATAGAGTATGCACAAAAAATAATGCACAATTAGTCAAGTAGGCACAATATGATGCAATGAGTTCGCAACCTAACCATGGCTCTAGTTCTCTAAAGTTCGGGATATGGTTTAGTCAAATAGGGTCCATGGTTAATTGTCCGGATGCACCGCGCAGAAGCCTAACCGTGAAGGGTTAGCGCGTGTGGATGGGACACCGCGAGTTTTAGAAAAAACTCACTTCCATGGTTTGGTGAATTCAACATCTCAGATGTACCCTTTGTTGCCAGGAGCGTTCAATCGGGTAGATAGAGCATGAATTCCCAGAGGGTTATGTCCATATGTAGAACACATATGGGTTTTAGAAAAGTGAGAAAAAATTCAATCAGGAAGTAGGATCGAGCAAACAATACGAAAAACCGGTCGAAATTAGAACGCATATTTCTGGCTCGGTATTGGGGGAAATTGGCGCCAGCAAACAGAGACTGGCGCCAACTTTTAACTGTAGCGCCTGGCGCCCATACTGGCGTCTGGCGCTACGGCTAAAAGTTTGGCGCCAAGTTCTGGCCCCTGACGCTACTTCCCACATGCCTCAGCAGCTTTCTGTGCTCAATAAAATCATCCAGTTTCGCGCGGTGTTATTTCAGTCCTAGTTGTAAAACACATTTCTCAAATTTCCTACGTGTAAAATCCTATGTTTTTGACTCATTACGGATGGTCTTTCCAATGAGAACCTTTTTATGCATATGACAATAATGTTAATCAAAATTACGCACATGAAATACTTAGAACTTTTTGAGTCTCATCCACTCATTCTAAATCATTGCCGAAACAAATTCAGGAATTAAAATAGAAATCGTCCCCAGTGGAGTCGCCAAAAACTGTAGGGAATAGTTTCAAGCCTTTAAAATCCCACTAGCTTGAACCCCACTGTGATCATACACTAAAGTACGGCGGCGTCCAAAAGGGAAGAAGATAGAGCAAAAGAGTCGCCAACAAGTTTTTAAGGAACTTGTAAACCGTTCACAGGATGAAGGTTACACCCCTTAACGATCCAAGAGATCGTCAACTCCATAAGTTCATGAACCAAATAAGGGTTCGGGGATGATAGTACAAATCCAACCTAAAAGAGATTGAACCTGCCCTAATAATAGGCCTCTACTTTATTCTGCTCGTATTCATGTGCGCTTTCTGACTAACATACAATCAATAGATTTAACCCTAAACCTGTTTAACCTATGTTGGTTGAATATTAATGCACAAATAAACTATTATTGGCGATCACTTGAAATTATAATCACAATTAACCTAACAAGATTATTAAATATCTTATTAAGCGTGATTGCAAGTACCAATTCCCTTTAACAAGCAATAAAGGTGATCAAGCAATAACAATAAAATAATATGCATATCAAGCAACATAATAAATAATCATGATAATTAATAATAATAATCATAAATATTAGGGAGAATATAGGAAGAATCATACTTTTATTCATACTTGATATTAAAGATACCCTAGACATGATACCAAGAATCAAAATAACAATCTAAGCATGATTTCTACATCATAAATCAATTAAACCATTAAAGTACTTACTTGGATGCCTCGTACCTCTTTCTAATTACAAAATACACACGTTAGTAACTTCAAGGAAAATAATAATCAAAACAATTAAATTAAATAATTGAAATAGAGATTTGGGACCAAACCCTCAGAAATTAAAACCTTTCACGTCTAGGGCGAAGGCAACTTCGAATATGGCTAGGTGTTTCTAGATCTTGTGAATGCGGAATTATTTATTTGAGAAAAGGCTAGTTTAGAAAAGAGAGAGAGAATAATCAAGAAAATCTTGATGAGAGTTGATGATTGATTAAGAGGAGATATGACCTCTATTTATAGGAAAAAAGAGAGTCGAAGAATTAAGAAAAGAATCCAAATTCGAATCGAAATAAAACTCGTAGACAGCAGCTTTTGCGGATTTTGTTTTTAACATATCTTTTGATCCAGAAATCGGAATAAGATTAATAAGATGTAGTTGGAAAGATCTTGAATTCTAATTTCTAACCCAATTGGAATCAGATTAAAATATATTGTAGAATAAAATATATGAACGAAATAGTGAGACGGTGTCAGTTTTGGATAGAGTTTGATATCTTATTCATATCTTTTTCGTTATAGCTCGGAATTATTATTATAATATATCATTGGAAAGATAATTTCAAGATCTATCCAACCATATCAAATTTTGATAAAAAATATGAGGCACGAAAATAATATCTGACTTTCTTTGAACATGTTTAAATCCGAATAGAATTAGGACTTTTAAAATGGAAAGTTTTATAAAAAAGGAAAGTTTATATTTAAATCAAATTCCTTAATATTATCTTTTCAGAAAAGGATAATTAAGATATTTTAGAAACTTATAGAAGATTCTAATCAATCCTAATTAGTTTAGGAATAGGATTAAACCTTTGGACCCTCCTCATGATTATTGGGTCGTAGGCAAAATCCGGTTTGGGCCCAGTTTAGTATTTTGGCCATAACTTCCTCATTATCCATCGGAATTGGGCTTATAATATATCGTTGGAAAGTTCTTTGCAAGCCCCATCCAACTACACCACTATTGGACCCTTATCATGGACCAAACTAAACTGGAATGGACGTTTTCATAAAATAGAGTGGGTTTTCGAAAACAGAAAGAAAGAATTTTAACAAAAACTAACCGCAACACTAGAATTTTCCACACTTTCACCTCATTCGATTATGGTTCGACGTAAAAGGTATTCATCACTGGGTTTGGTTTTGGGGAGACACAAATGGGTGTCTACAACTGTGCTAACACATTCTTTTATCCACCCAATCCAGCAATCAGGTAGATTCAGTTTCTTTAGGATAAAAAAAAAAAGAAAGTCCCATCTTACCCTGTCATAGGCTTTGCTCAGTTCAATCTTCAAAATTGCCTCAAACCTCCCACCTTTCTTCCTATGCTTAACTTCATGCAAGATTTCATGAGCAATAAAGCAATTGTCCAACATCATTCTCCCTAGGATGAAGGCATTTTGGAACTCACCAATGACTTCTTTTAATATCGGCTTCAATCTATTCACCATGCACTTAGAGATGATCTTATAAAGAGAGTTGCACAAGCCTATCGGCCTGAAATCCGTGACAGTTTCTGGATTTGAGCACTTCGAAATAAGGGCCAGAAAGGTTCTGTTAGTTTCCCGCAGCATATGCCCTCTTCTAAAGAAGAATTGCACCCCCTCCACCACCTCATTTTTGATGACATTCCAATGCCGTTGGAAGAACAGTGGTGGTGCACCATCCGGGTCAGGGGATTTAAGAGGGTGTGGGGCAAAGGCTGCCTTTCTTATTTCCTCCGTACTAAAAGGCTTGTGTAGCATGTTGACATGGTCTTGGGAAATACAAGGTAAGTGTTGTAACCACTCCTCTGCTGAAGGATTTGAGTTACATTCCACACCTTCATATCCTTGCTTAAAGAAACTGACTAATTCACATTTGATCTCCTTAGCATCTGAAATCCATTCGTCATCCCCTTTCTTAAGAGCTCTTATCTCCATTTTTGACATTCTTGACTTGACACTCTTATAGAAGAGAGAGGTACAATTATCTCCATACGCATCCCACTTGCATTTCGCTCTTTATTTCTAGTACCACCACTTCTTGTTAAGCTCTTCTTCCATCCTTTTCCTCAAGATGATTTCCTCAGAGCCCCTGGTGTCCTGCCCGTTTTAGGCCTTCTCTAACTCCTCGTGGATAGTATTCCATTCGAATCCTAGCTGGAGTTTATGCTCAATGCTCCACCTTCTCAAGTCCTCCCTCACATTCTTGATCTTTCTTTGGGCCTTAAAAAGAGGTGAGCCCTGCACCCTTCTACCCCAACCTTCTTTAATTTCTTGGCCCACGTCCATCCTCCGTAAGCTCCATGCGTCCATTATATAAGACGTCTTCTTCTTTCCTTTATTGGGCCTTGGGTCCAAAATAATTAGGCCATGATCTGAGAAGATAATTGGTAAGTTCCAAACTAGAGCGTCTGGGTTATTGATTCTCCATAGTTCACTTGCATAGGCCCGATCCAACTGCTCATAAATAGGGTTCTTGGATCTGTTGTTACACCAAGTGAATTGGGCTCCTTTAGAAGGGATCAAAGATAGGCCCAAATTAAATTTCCAGTCCACAAAGTTTTTAAGGCCGAGGTGAAGGAGTTATGTCTTCGATAAGTGCAATTACTAGATATATCAAGGATCACTATTATGGAGATAATAAGTTCGTCCTCTTGGGGCGTCATCATCTGTTGCTAGACTATGAGAGATGATCTTTGGGCTATTAAAATAGTCCAAAGCCCGCTAGAATGGATCCTATGAGGTCACACACAAAGGTATTGGGTTAAGCAAGTAAGAGGCCCATTATTGGGCCTTATGAGGATTTAACTGATCGTGAATAGGATTGGGCTAGTGTAGTTTGATTGGGATTAGGAATTGGGCTTGGTCATGGACTCTTATTTATGGATATGATCTATAAATAAGATCTATGCCTAGGGTTGCATGATATAAGAGTCACAATCAACTTACAGTGAATTGTGAATCAAGGCAACCAAATCCCAATACCCTCATCTCCCCCTCTCTCTCTCACGGCACCCCTCTCCCCCCCTTGGACTTGTGGCCGACCACCCTTGGTGGTGCTCGCGGTGGTTTGTGACTAGTTCGTTGCTCATACCTCTCCGTAGAAGGTCGATTGAAGAGTTCGATCGTGACTAACTAGCATTAGTGGAGGTCTTAATCTGTGCCTGTGGACCAAGTAGAGGAATCACGTTTGAGGTTCTTTTTCTCCCTTGTTCTTGCTTGATTGCTAGTGGAATCACGCTTCAAAGGTATTATTCTTACTCTTTATGTGTTATGCATGAGATCCTTGGTTAGGTGCTATATGAATATGATTCATGGTTTTTCTGCTGCGTAGTACCTATATTTCCCTACAGTGGTATCAGTTAGCCTCTTGCAATTACATATGTTGAGTATTAAGCCTTTGTTAATCCACAATTTTAATTTAATTAGGAGGGAGAATAATTTAATTATGAGTCAATTATTATATTAAATGCGATTTAACAATATAGAATCATTAAAGTTGTTTAATTTGCTCCATATTAGCCCTAAATTGATCCGAAAATAGCCCTATAATATTCGAAAAATTCGAACCCCCCCCCTTAATATTTCGACATTTTCGAAATCATTAACCCCAATTTATGAAATTTGTGTTTTTAATTTTGATTTAATTCGAAAGTTTTATGTTTAAAGAATTTAATCTAATTGATTTCATGATAAATTATGAATTTTTCATGATCAACCTATTTAATTTAAAAGTTAAATTGAATTGGGATTAAATTCATGAAGAACCCTAATTTTAAAATTGAATATGATTTAATTTTAAAATTGGATGGACCACATTAATTTTAATTTTAATAAAAAAATATGTTTTGTTTTAAATTAAAAATCAATCAAAAAAAAAGTGAAAAGGAGGGGATTGAGGTTCGGCAGCCACGGCGACTGCCGCACCGGTGGTGGTCCAGGAGGGAGGGTGGGCTGGGCACGGGTCAGCCAAGGGGGCAGCGCAGCAGTGCACCACCCCGATGTGTGTGCTGCTGCTGCTGTCCGCGCGTCGCTGCAGGGGCAGCGCGAACCGCAAGGTGTGCGACCACCGTGGCCGGCTTCGGCTGGCCACACCACGGTGGCTGACGCCGCTTTTTCAAAAAAAAAAAATCTATTTTATTTTGAATAAAATCAGTTTTCAAAATTAAAATTAAAGATAAGTTTTGATTTTGAAAGGATAATTAACAAAGTTAAAGTTGTTAATTTTGTTAAGATAGGATAATATGGAGCAAAAGATTCTATTTGGATAATAATTGATTAAATAATGTGATTATCCCATAATTATTTTAGGATATTAGTTGATTTAAAATATGTGATTGGCAAGTAATTAGGATAGAATCTCCTAAGAGTTAGGATAATCATGGAAAATAAATATGATTTATCTTCCATAATTAAAATAAGATTTGATTCTATCTCATACCTAAATTAAAATATATGATATTTTATAATTGGTTATGAATAATATATGATATTATCTAATTACAGTAATTAATTAAAATATGAGATATTTTAGGAGCCATGTTTCCTTTATTGTGAATATTCGATGTTGTAGTTTAGGAAAGCATGATGAGTGATTTATTATATGGCATTTTATAATATATGTTGTTATATATTGCTATATAGACTAGTATGGCCCATAGATTCTAAATACGATCTGCGCATCGTTTCGTATTTTTGTAATCTAAATACGGTCTGCGTACCGTTAAGTATTTTTGTAATTTATTTTATTTTATTTAAGTAGTAGATAGAATAGAATAGAATTACAGGTTGCAGTTAATGCAAGAATCCATGGAGTGGAGGCCCAAAGGAGCAAGATGGATGAGATCCATGAAGGTTCAAGTGGGAGCTTTTGCTTTATTAGTTTTTTTAGGATTAAGGGGCCATACTATTTCATGTTTTATTTATGCATTAGTAGATTATGCATGTTAGATTTTATTTATGTTGTTTGATGATGCGCTAGAGTTCACTAAATAATCACAACATAATGAATCTAGGTCCCAGTAATATTGAGGTTGCTTTCCCAATTAAAAACCCGATGAAACCTTCAATATTTATGGCAGGTCATGCCTCAGCTGGGTGTCATACTATATCTTAGGGGAGTGGGGGTAAATCACGTTTTACACTTTTAATTGGTTATACTCAACGAGGTTACCTAAAGAGTTTAGAACCTTGAAAATAAGGGTAATAATTAAACATGTGATGGTTAATTATTCAACCAAGAATTACAAAGAGTTGTAATCAGTAAAGAGTTTACTCACCTTGAAAATGCAATAGTTGATGGTAGGGCCTCAGCCCGGTCAATTATTGCACAAATAAAGGATCTTGGAATCATTCTATTCAATAGGGATCAATTAAAGATTGAATGAATGTTTTAAAGTTACCAGTTTTATAATCGCTTATGGTACTTTAAAAGTTTATTAATACTTATTGAACTTTGCCTCGTTTGTTTTTGTTTGTAGATGAATACCGGTCAATTATTGCACAAATAAAGGATCTTGGAATCATTCTATTCAATAGGGATCAATTAAAGATTGAATGAATGTTTTAAAGTTACCAGTTTTATAATCGCTTATGGTACTTTAAAAGTTTATTAATACTTATTGAACTTTGCCTCGTTTGTTTTTGTTTGTAGATGAATAACTTATACGACAACACAATTTTACCAATGAAACTTAACTTAAGGCTAAATCTCAGAAACTTCAGGGAATGGGAAAAGGAGTTGAGAAATGTTCTCACAAGCCATGGGCTTGAATCTCGTTTATACATTCCTGTTGAGAGCAAATACACAGAAAAGTATGGAGCTGAAAGGCATGCTGAAATTGTTTCAGCTACAGAGAAAATCAGAGAGCTCATTTTAGAATCTATTCCAACTTGTTGGAAAAGAAGATTCAGGCACTATGAGCTAACCATATTGTACAAATGTCTTCGTGCCATCTGTCGAGGTGGCATAGGAGCACTAGGAAGTGGAGGCATAAATGATCAAAATGTAAGAGAGGTCGTTAACTCAATCCCTCAGATTTACTATTCCTGGACTGACAGTGTCAGGTATGAGGCTTACAATATTCATTGTAAGATAATGGCTAAAATACTCATGCCTGGTCAGTCAGTAAGGGCCCATGTAAGGGAATTGATTGAAATGTTCAATCAAATGGATGTCCTTGGGAAACCGATCGATGATGACTCTGCTCATGATATTATTTTGTTCTCACTCCATGATGGTTTTGATATTGTCAAGCTCACTCATAATGATGAGGGATCTTCGGTGACATTGATCAATCTGTTGCTTAACCATGCTGAGGAGTTCCTGAAGAGGAGAGGAAGCGAATGCTTCTTTTGCGGTAGTTGGCCATGCCATAGACCAGGGTGTCCCCACTATACACCAGTGAAAACTGAAGGTAAAGAGTTACTTGATGTTTTCGTTGTAGAAATTAATCTTACTTCATCTTCCACTTGGGTATTTGATACCGGATGTGGTGCTCATATCTTTAATAACGTGCAGGGCTTGAAAGAAAGTAAGAAGTTAGCAAAAGGGGAAGTAACGCTTCGAGTAGGAAATGGAGCAAAAGTTGTTGCACTTGCTATTGGAAGCTATCATTTAAGACTTCCTTCTGGACTTATTTTGGTGCTTAATAACTGTTATTATGTACCAACAATAACTAAAAACATTATTTCAGTTCTTGTTTTAGATTCTGAAGGATTTTCATTTGAAATAAGAGACAAGTGTTGTTTTATTTCGAAAGAAAATATGTTATATGCTAACGCCAAATTAATTAATGGTTTGTATGTATTAGAATATACAACCCATGTCTACAATATTGATCATAAAAGGCAGAAAACAGATGATTCAAACCCAACTTACCTATGACATTGTAGGCTTGGTCACATTAACCAAAAGCGCATCCAGAAATTACACAAGG